TATTCCCAAACACAATTCTACTCAAGGAAAAGACAAACTAGAACTTCCCACACCCTTCTTCTACCAGTTCTTTGGGTCAACAGAGACGCAGCACAACTCCAGACTTCACTGCACTGTGGATTGTGAAAGAAGACCTTTTTCTTTTTAAAAAAGCTGTAGTATAAGTATTTGGCTTTCTGATGCAGAGCTGAGGACCCACATTTAGTTTTCTTAGCAATAAATTCCTGACAACTTTGCCTCTTTACCTGTAAAAACTGGTAAAAATAGACAACTTGTGGGATTTAAGTGAGAATGAAATTATATGAGGGACTAATTAAGTTTCAGTTGTATTCATTTGTTTTACATGAAGTATTATATTCATAGCATGCATGCAATTTCCTTTCTCATTTCAAGGTAATGTTTCTCTTGGCCCTACTGCGTTGTTAGTGAAATGTTTATTAAATCTGCTTTAGTAAAATTATTTTTATACTGCATTCGCTGCCTCCTCCCATTGTAATTACACAATTATGAAATATTTTTCTCCTTTCGTATGCCAAACTCTACTTGTATATGATAATTTAAAATGAAAAATATAGCATAAAATATATAGTTTCCATCAAATAATTCTCAGTGAAGACATCTTTAACATGGCATAGTTTTCATAGATATTTTAAAAATTTTTTCTACTTTAGGATTACCATATTTTATAGGGTTAACAGAATAGAAATTTTCCTTGATATCTAACACATGTATAGTACCATTGGTCAGTTTCTAACATTAGAATACCAATATGAATTTTACCAGACTCTCTTTGCTTCTGATTTTTGCCTTGGATAAACTATCATCAATATGTACTTTTCAAAAGTTTTACTGCCTTTCAAACACTGAACTAGCTCCAGTCGAAAATAACAGAAAAAATATAAATGAATCCGGTCCACAGGAACTTAGTCTATTATTATAGCTTTGATCTATGTTATCAATGTTATAAAAACTAGAATATAAAATGCTGCAAATTCTATGGATACATATATACACAGTTTTCCTAACCTAAATTTATGGTTGTAGAATAATTTTCCTCGGTTACTGAGGTATCTAAAATGAAAATCTAAAGGATAAATAAAAGCTACCTACATGAAGCACGAAATGGGGAAAGAAAAAAGTAATTCTCAACAAAGTTCCTTTATACATAAAAGAACTATCAGGGGTGCCAGAAAGATAGTCAGTTATAGGAACTTCCCTCACATACAGTCAACCTGAGTTTGATCCTTGCCATTTCTTATGGTCTCTTTAGCCTGCCAGAGTGATTCCTGAGCACAGAGTGAAAAGTAAGCCCTGAGCATCACTAGATGTGGCTTAAAAACAGAACAATAAAGAACTGAAAGTAGTCAGGGCACACACATACACAGATAGATGTATGTGTGAGTGAATGAGAGAGAAAGATGAGAGAGGGAGAAGGAGAGAGGGAGAAAGAGAGAGAGGGAGAGAAAGAGGAAGAGAGAATTTGAAACCAGAAGAAGGGAAAGCTAGAAAATTTGAGGGAGACAAGATCAATGGGTTTACAGAGAACAAATATGTAAAATTACATTTAAAATAATCACATTTACTTCTTCATATTCAACTACCTCAAAAGTACCTAATTTGAAATAAAGAAAATACTTAATTTACATATATATATATTACATGTATGTATGTATGTGCATGTATTTGTATACTTGATTATACTGGCTGGTTTGGGGAGAGTACAATCCTTTGACAGGAAAATATATCTTACCAAGTTCAATCATTAAAAGAAAAAAACTGAGGCCAGATTGTGGTATAAAACATGACCACTTTTTTTCTTAATAAATACTGCCTGGCAGCTGGCATAGAGAAGGGACCACTAAGTGAATGATGCTTGGAGGATTCACTCGGGATGGGAGATGCATGCTGAAAGTGGACTATATACCAAGCATGTTGGCCACTTACTGCCTGCATTGCAAACCATAACACCCAAAAGAAGAGAGAGAGAGAGAGAGAGAGAGAGAGAGAGAGAGAGAGAGAGTAAAAGAGAATGTGCCTGCCACAGAGGCAGGAGAGGGGATGTGGTGGGGGTGCAGGAGAGATACTAGGAAACATTGGTGGTGGAAAATGTGCACTGATGGAAGGATGGGTACTAGATCATTTTATGACTGAAACGTAATCACGAAAGTTTGTAAGTCTGTAACAGCACATCATGGTGATTCATTAGAAAATCTAAAAAATTAAAAATAAAAATAATAAATTAAAAATAAAAGTAACAGTGATAAAATAATAGTAATAGTAATAATAATAATAATACTTTATGGGAACATAGAACACCCGTCCATGCTGTCTTCATCACAGCAACTCGGAGGGGGGTGGGTTGATTTTCCCTCCCCGCACCAACAGAGCCCAGGCAGCCTAAAACCTCCAGAACCCAACAGCTGCCAGGCTCACTGCCACTTGGACAAGCCTCACCCATGATGGAATCTGGAAGAAAAAAAAAAAACAGGTATGCAGGACCCATGACTGAAATTTCCAACCTTGCTCAGAGCAGAAATGTGCCTCCACTTCCCATCTCCCAAGTCTTCTGGTAGCTTGGCTGTCACACCCACAAGTTGCCCCTGGCTCTGTACAATCTCATCAACTGCCATGATCCAGAGACTTAGAAATAAAGATCCCAGAAGAGATCAACATAGGCCTTACCCATGAGTGAGCCTGCTCTATAATCATTGTTTAAATTTTAGAATTCCTGGAGCAACCTCTCATACTCTACCCCACTGATGTACCAAACTTTGGAGAGCACAATTTGGGATTTGGGGTGGAAACACTTGAAATATGGTGTTGGGAAGGTGCAATAGTGGTGGAATTGGTGTTTAAATATTAAATACAATTAATTATTGTGAACAACTTTATAAAAAATAAAACAAAATTTGGAAAAAATAAAAAAATAATTATAATGACAAGGCAATGGATAGAGCTCAGTGATGGAGCTCATGTCTTCCACAGAGTTTATCATGCCTAAATATGATAAGCCTCATGTCCCACTGAATATCACATCCATTCTTTGATATTTGTCACACCCTCTTTCCCTCATCATTTTTTCTTACTCTCAGTTCCTACTTCCCTACCCGCCACAAGTGTGTGCCAAAAGTTTCCTGGTAATATATATGGTTAAATCCAGATAACGTGGTGAATAAAAGCAAGAGGTGCCCTAATCCCAAGCAGAAACTAGGAACCTACTCACTTTCACAAAACCCCTTCCTAATGATGTAGGATGGGAATAAAAACTGTAGTAGAGAAACATAAAACAACATTCTGCTAAATAAAGACACAATTGATCAATGGGAATGACTGCTTCACGATCCATTATTACTGATTTTTTGCAACATATTCATAAACATATCTTGACTATTTGCTTTCAGAAAAAAAACAAATAAATAAACTCTACATAATACTTTTGTGTTTTGTTTTGTTTGGGGGTCACACCTGGCAGTGCTCAGGGGTTACTACTGGCTCTGCTCAAGGAACCATATGGAATACCAAGGATCTATATCTGCTAATGCAAGCACTGCTACCCTCTGTGCTACTGCTTCAGACCCTCTTCAGAATATTTTTCTTAACTAATATAAAAAGAACAAGTAGAAGTTAAGTACCAGTGAGTGAACAGTACAAATAAAGATGCCTGTGAGTGAGCTCCCTATTTTACCAGTTATAAGTAAACATTCCTTGAGAAAAATTAAAATTCTTCATTAATTTTATTCTTATCAAATATTTGAATCTAATTATTTTATCTACTTTCAGGACATGAGAGAAAATAATGATTTTTTATTTTAAAATACTTAAGATAAAAATCTATTAGTAAAACTATTTTATTCAAATATCTAAAGACTAAATATTGTTTGGATTTTCAAAGAATATTTGCTCTATCAAAGATTGACTTTAACTGAATTTAGCCCTATATTAAGTTCCTCCCTGACTGGAGAGTTTCTTTTCTTTTACAATAAACTTTTCTATTTATATATGTATAACTTTAAAGCTGACAGACACTTTTAGTTTCTTAAAGTCAATTAAATTGAATACTAAGTTGTCTTGAAAGACAGCATTCACAAAATTGAATTAACCATAAAGATGGAAAGTCTTTTGAACTTAATATTATAGAGACTCAGAAAGTAAGAAACAAGCAAAGGCACAATAGTTATTATGACCATGCAAATTATAGTGTACAATTGTGTTCAGTTTCCAATTCAAATGATGCTCAATTTTCCATTCCGTATTTGTTCTCACTTCTGGATAAAAACAATAAAGTAAATCACATGTATAAGCTAATTTAATCTTGCTAGTTATGTTTGGCAAACTGCTTGAGGAATCATTGTGGATAATCAAATAAATTAGATGCCAAAATCAATGAACCATAGGTAAATGAGGTGAACTGCAAGTTTACCATCTAACCATTATCCAAGACAAAGATACACTGCATTTGGTTGCTTGTTGATTTCATTTTCCTTGATTTAAGAGTGCTTTTGTCCAACTCTATTTAAAATCTAGAGTTGTGCAGTGCCTACAGAGTGTGAATGACAACTGATGCTTTTACAAACTTGACTCTGAAATATTGAGTGTGTAACCAAATCCCATTTGGACCTTTCCCTTATGGAATCCTAACTTCTAAGTGTTACCTAGATCGTTGCCAGAATGATTAAACTGGACTGTACAGAGAAGTGAGAACTTAGAAATATAATGGATGAACTCTCGCTATAATCTATCTGATATAAGCACACAATTCCAGATAGCACTGGGGTCAATAAGTCAGACTGATTAATGGGCATGAGCAGCTCAGAAGCAGTGGCAGTTCAAAGACAATAAATCTTACACTATAGCCAAAATCTAACCAGCTCTTTGGGAGAAGACAAGAAAGACGATAAGTAGCACAATAACCACAGCAGTGAAAAAAATATCTAAATATCTGAACTTGTCTAAATAAAACAAATCTCTGTCCCCTAAATACAAAAATGAAAAACAACCAGATCCTTTTCCAGTTCATAAGCATAATGATTGGGTATTGAACCGTTTGTGTGACATGTGCCTCCCTTACATTTTCTTAGGCACTTGGGACATTTCCTATCTGATATGGAAAAAAATATATCTAACATTCATAAAGGATATTAGCAAAAACTAAAATTAAAACTTCAAAATTAGCCTGTGGGGCAGAGAAACTTTTCTTTTTAGTAAAGAATATTTATCTTAAATCGATTTCCAAAATGTCAACAAATCATTTTGAAACAGTGGTAGTAAAGAAAAATATAGTATTTTACTTTAAAAAGAGTGTATGGCAATTTGACTTGAAAGAGCAGAATTTTCTTTGAATAAGCAAATATCAAAATGAAAATTTGGGGGGAAATCTCTGTTTTAAGTAGTCAAAACCTAAGGACAAGTAATGTTTGTAGAGACAATGAACACTTTCACACTTAGGCAGAAAAAGTTCTGGAAATAAACATCTTTTTTGAAAAGTAACCCATCTAATGCTCAATTAAACATGCATGCGCGTGCACACACACACACACACACACACACACACACACACACACACACATACACACACAGAGTTAATTGCTTTAAGTCCCCCATATTGCACAGTCCATCTTGACAACATAATCCTCATTTTATTACCTTCTTAACAGGGACTGGTAGATTGAACTAAGCCTCCTAAAACTTGAAATCAGAAGATGTCACCTTGTAGTGGCATAGTTGATGGGCCAGAACCCAACTAGTTGATCTAGTTGATGGGCTAGAACCAAACAATAGTCAGCACTAAACTAAAATAGTTTAAATTTTTATAAAAAATTTGATGCCTGAGAATCTTTGAAAACAATGAAAGAGAAGTCCATGGTTACTGCCAGATTTCTATCCCCTTTCCTCCTGTGCCTGAACGATATTGCAGCAAGGGGGCATTTGACGCTATATGATGAGAAATTGTTGGGAGGGGGGCAGGGTTTTCACCCAGATGTATAAACAGAACAAAAATTAAATGAAGTCTTTGTTTTTAAATGTCTAATGTTTTTCATAAGAGCGAGGACAATTGAAAGATATCTTAGCAGCACCAGCAGTCCTGAACTTTTTTCTCAGCGTCCTAGGGAAGTTTTATCGAAATAAATATATGAGGTGGTATTGGATTAACAAGTATGTAATCCTAAAATATCCTGCCAAACTTTAACATCTACACACATGATAAAATGGTCACTAATTATGGAGTGCTTTGTATCTACCAGAGGCTTTACTAACACGATCTACAATAATCCCTTCAACAACTCTTGTAGATAGGATCCATGTCCTGCAGATAAAGCAGTAAAGAGCACTTCCAACTTGGCTGATTATACAGCTAGTGAGAGATGAGTCCCATTTCGAACTTAGAGCAATCTGCTTTATTTCCACAGCCTCATACCCTCTTCCCAAGAGTTTCTCTAGAGATGCTTCAGATGGTAAAAAAAAACTGTTGGAAGCAACCTTTGATAGTAAGTGGCCCTAAAAAAACGTGAAACTGGTATTTTCAAACCAAGACAGAGAAAAATGACTGCTGTCCTTTCGGTCTTACCATTTCTTTTCACCTCTAAAATAATTAGGAGACACAGGGAAGTCAAACAAAGAAGAGGGTTTAAAACAAAAAACAAAAAAAGTTTTAGTAACTGCATTGAAACTTTGATCTTATAGCTGCAGGGGAAATTCTAATAAGGCAGAGGTAAGTGCCATCAAACTCAAGAGATATTAAATGTTTTCCAGGATGGATAGATCATGCTAAGGGAAAGCAAAGACTATTCAATGAATAAGGAAGTGGGGTGTCCTGATTTAAAAACAGAACAAGAGAGCTGGAGAGATAGCACAGCAGGTCGGGCATTTGCCTTGCGCGCGGCCAACCCGGATTCAATTCCCAGCATCCCAGCATTCCCAGGTCCTCTGACCACTGCCAGGAGTAACTCCTTAGTGCAGAGCCAGGAGTAACCCCTATGCATCGCCAGGCATGACTCAAAAAGCAAAATAAATAAAAAAATAAAAATAAAATAAAAAAACAAAACAAAACAAAAACACTGTAATTTGAATTAACTTCCTTGGAAAAAATTACTACAAATGGAGAGAAAGAGGAACATGTTGTGAGGTTAATAACCCTGACGGGAAATGTCCCCCAAAAGAAAAATTGAACACAGATAGAATGAAGATGACAGTGGGGAGGACAGCCCTGGTGGCCGACACCCAATCAAACTGTGGTTTTAGAATTGCACTGTGGCACTGTCCTCCCATTGTTCATCAATTTTCTCGAGCGGGCCCAGTTACATCTCCATTTTGAGACTTGCTGTTACTGTGTTTGGCGTATTGAACACATCATGGAGAGCTTACCAGGCTTTGCCATGCTCTTGGTAGCTTGTCATGCTCTCTGAGAGCGGTGGAAGAATTGAACTCGGCTTAGCCTTGCTGGCTGCACACAAGACAAACGCCCTACCACTGCGTTATCACTCCAGCCCTGGTTTTAGAATTACGTTTCATTAATTTAAAGCAGTAAATTGAGTCCAGGAAACAAGTGCTTTAGGAGAAAAGAGAGCGGTAGTAAATCCCAAATTCCTAGTGCTACCAAGATACTATATTCATCACAGAAGAAGAATTTTTAACAGTAACTGAATTTTACAAGTTTGTAACCTTTTTTCATAGAATATATCTGTTCTACAGTATGTCATCTATAAAATCTTATATGTACAGGTGAAAGTTAAACAGTTGCAGGAGCAGTATGTTCTACAGCTTTCAAATCTATAGTTTGAAGAAGTCATTTTGGTTTATAATGATAAATTTTATCACTATTATATTTAATCACTATTAAATTTTATCACTATTATATTCTGAAATTTGATAGCATTAATATTCTGTCTAGCACACACATAGAAAACCACAAAAGTTATAAGTAATAAAAACACTGAAAATCTTCTAGAAAGGGAAAATCATACAAAATTTCCTTTGAATTTATCCTACTTAAAATTCTACATAGATGTGCTAGTTTAAGTTCATATGTTATCAGCTGGACCGCTGGACTAGAGCTGTTACCGACTGGATTCCACGGGATGTCAAAAGACCGTGTGGCCGCCCACCTACCAGATGGTCAGACTTCTTCATCAAGATCATGAACGATCGGTTTGAGGCTCTTCGTGTTCCGAGAGCGAACAGACGCCATTGGGCTACAGTAGCACATGACAGGGACAAATGGAGATGTTACTGGTGCCCGCTCGAGCAAATCGACGATTAACGGGAAGTCGAGTGATCAAGTGATCAAGTTATCAGCTATCCCTTTTAAAAATGAATAGAAAGGAGAGAAAATAAACTAAAAATGTTTATTTCCAAAAAGAATTGGAAATAGAAATAGTAGATAAGAATTTTAATCATTTGTGACTGGAAAAATACTACAGTGGATAAGGCCCTTGTCTTGCATTTGACCAACCTTATTGGATCTCCAGCACTTCATAAACTCCTCCAGCCCCATTAGAAGTGAATTGGGAGTCATGTTCTCTCTATAGTCTACTTTCAGCAAACCACAGCACCCAAAAGGAGAGAGAGAACAAAAGGGAATGCCCTGACACAGGGGTGGGGTGAGATGGGGGGGGGGGGGTGCTGGGAGCATTGGAGGTGGGGAATGGGCACTGGTAGAGGGATGGGTGCTCAATCATTGTATAACTGAAACCCAAGCATGAAAATTTGTAAGTCTACAACTGTACCTCATGGTGTTTCACAATACAAATAAATAACTAAATAGATAAATAAATAAATGAATGATTTGGGAACACAAAGCCTAGAGTAAGTAATCTATGATCACTGCCAAGTATGTAAAAAAAAAAAAGAAGCAACAGACTAAAGAAATCCCCAAAAATGTAATCATTTAATACACTTAATAAATTTATGGGCTGGAGTGATAGCAGAACAGTTAAGGCATCTGCCTTGCACACAGCCCACGCAGCTGACCCAAGTTCGATTCCTCCACCCCTCTCGGAGAGCCTGGCAAGCTACCAAGAGTATCTTGCCCGCAAGGCAAAGCCTGGCAAGATACCCATGATGTATTGGATATGCCAAACACAGTAACAACAAATCTCACGATGGAGATGTTACTGGGCCACTTGAGCAAATTGATGAACAACGGGAGCACAGTGCAGTGCAGTGCAATAAATTTATAAATAAATTCATAGACTTATAATAAAATTATAAATAAATTTAATAACCTAAGTACAGTCACCTTAATGGAACAAAATGATCAAAAAGGAAGGAAAGAAGGAAGGAAGGAAGGAAGGAAGGAAGGAAGGAAGGAAGGAAGGAAGGAAGGAATAATTTTTGTTCCAGAAGAGAAATACGATTCACCCAAAGAAACTTTTAAAGTTTGATAACATAGAGTTTAAATTGGTGTCCTGAGTGACTCCCCAAATGATACCTGTGCAGATGGAGAGTCAATAGTGGTCTCCAGAGAGAGCACTAGTGCCCTTCTGCATGGCCCTCTTTCATCTTCCTGGCAAATAGGTGAGAAGACAGGTGATGATACAGTCTGTAATCCGCTGCAAGTACCCACAGGGCATGGATACTATAGTCCCATAAGTCCAGTCTCGCAAGGCAGTCATGCAGCTGGAGCTGAGATCCCTTTCATCTACACAGCATGAAACTTGTTTTAGGGAACCATGGTCTCTTGCTGGAGTGAGGAATTGCCACTTAATAGAAATGCAAAGTCGGTCCTGATCTCTGCCCAGGTTTCTAGGTTCATCATCTACCCCCTAAGAAAAGGAAAAATTAGGAGACAAATGGTGAAGTAAATGGTGTCATTTAGGAATTAGAAAGTGTGGGACAGAGGATATGTCTGTGCGTGTGTGTGTGAGTGTGTATAATGGACTCAAGGGAGAACACAGATTTCTTCTCAGGGAAGAAAGCCTGGAGTAACCCATAAAGTGAAGGAAAGGAATTCGATACCCCAGGCTGTGATGCAGGCAATCCCAGAATGGGGATGTGATAGTCTAAAACAACCCCCAGATGCAGTAGGTTTTAAACAGTCTATTGTTAAGGTGTTTTCAGGGGGGAAAGTTTGAATTTTCATGGTCTTCTTTCATCTTCATACCCTGA